CTATGAAGTATTTTTGCTAACCATATCAGAATGAGACCCTACTTTCTGAAGATATGAAAAATATTTTCTTAGAAATGGGAAGAGATTTAAACATTCTCCTGACAGAGACTCAGTCAGACAATTAAAAATTAAATCAAATGGTGCGTATAAATTGAGACCATGTGGCAAAGTTTGATATAATTGAGTTCAGAGGAAGGAAAAAATGGTGGAGCACCACTAGATACTTAATCTAAGACTGAGACCAGGGTGGGAGAACCATGGGCTGTGAGCCAAATCCCATTTGATGTCCTATTTGGCAAGAACTGCTTTTAAACTACAACCTCAAAGTTGGGTGGTTGCCACAGAGAACATGTGTTTCACAGAGTTGAAAATATTTAGTAGCTAACCCTTTACAGAAAATGTTTGCCCGTCCCTTCCACAGGCGATCAAACCAAAACAGACGTATTTTGGTAGAATATAAAATTTCAGGGCCTCCTTCCTCAAAGCACCTCCCTGGGTGGAGAGTAGTATATGGACCAAGTGTCAGGATTCTAGGCCAGTGGCATGACTCTCACCCATTTGTGCATTTCAGGGAAACATTGGGACAGGATGAAAGTGACTACCTCGTTCGCAGCCCAGTCATGGTGGTTGGGGTTGACTTCACAGCAATGATGGACACCAGCTCGCCTTTAAGCTGGCCTCCTCCCCTATGTGTAGGAGAGAGAGCATCAAAGTCAGTCACCAAAGCTCCAAGTTCTTCCATCAGTGACTGCACTGTCACCTCCCTCCCTCTAGCTATGTCAATAGTAACATTTGTAGAAATAAAACATGAAATAGTTGTATCATCCATAAAAGTGTAAGAAGCCCTAACTACAATATTAGGCCTGGTATCCTGCCAACATAGAGCTCCAATATTTGCAAATAAGCGAACTATATCACACACACACACCACCAGCAGGACTCTGGGATGCTCACTCAGGATTAGTCCTCACCAGACTAAGAGCAGCTCAGCAGCAGCAGAGCTGAGGGCCTCATAGTCAGCTGCACTTCCAGGGTCTGGCCTTTTCCTGTGGGTCTCTCCTCTGCTTTCCTGGTCCCTTCAACTCCCTGGGTCCTGTCTTAATAGATTGCTCAGCTGGAGGCTGATGGTTTATGTGGATGTAAGACCTTGAACCTCTTCTTTTCTCAGGAAGGTTTTTCTTTGACCTCTATAATTTCCAGCTTACTTTGGATTACTTGGAAGTTGATGCTTGTGCATCAGCCCTGGCAATCTACTCAGATTCCTCCTAGCCCTGAAATCAGATTCGACCAAGGCATTTTGATAGAATCTGAACTCACAGAGCAGATATGGTATGGGATTGTATACAGGATATTTTGAAAAATATGCTCACCTTTCCTTTCTGGATGCTAGATGTACTTATTATGGCTACTATGAATCATTAACTAAAACTAGGTAGAGCTCATCTCCAACGCCCCCAGCCACCTCCTTCTTTTCCCAGCCCCTTCACCACTCATACCTTCTTTGGTTCTTTCTTTTCTTAACCTTAGCTGTGTGGATCTCCAGCTTCCAAAGCACTAAGATTATTATAATTGGTGAACTGCTCTCTGGCATTCAGATGTACCTGATGAGACACAGACTCTCTGAGGATTCATTCTTTCCTAACTGGGTTTATTTATAGGCACAGATTTGACGTTACCTGTAGTCACATTATTTTTTTTCTTAACTACACAAAGGAGACATTCATTTTTGTTCCTCGTGGAAGGAAGTAGGACAAACATCAAGGCCCAAAGATTTTGCCTTCATCAAAAAAATTCTTTTAGACACTGACTCAGAGCCTCTTAAGTAGACCAGAATTTCTCACTGTAGTCAGTTCTCTGAAGGAAAATGCCAGTGAGCGAGAGTAGAGATAACTCAAAGCTCAGAGAGGGCCAAATTTGGCCTGACTTTCTCATTAAATAGGGACCCCATAGGAGTTTGGACAGAAAACAGATTGTGGTCAATTGAACATGTTAACAGGATTAAATTTTTTTTTTTAATCAAACACATTGAAAGTAAATTTCCAGGTGAACCTCTAATGATTTTCTTTGCTGACATACAGCTTTGACTTAAGGAACTGTTCAGATAGATAATATAATCATCATCAATTCCATGTGTTTATAATTGTGCCTTTGATCTGTAGAGTGTGAAATGCTTTGCCATCACCAGGTTGCTGATCTTCCTTACCACCTTCTGTAACATGTGGGTGCTTCTTTATTCCCTAACTTTCCCAAGAAGCTAAGAAATACGATGTCAACAGTCATCAGCTTGTTATATGGAAGTTATGGAAAGATCCAGAAGTGCCTGAGTCCCATCCAATTGCGTTTCCTATTAAGACTCAGCTGCTTCAATAGAGATTCAATAAGGCTCTTAGCTATGGGCTCTGCCCTCACCAAACAAATGGCTAAGTGTACAGGCAGGCGTGCGGGAAAACCTCACTCTGCTCTGATGTTACTTAATATACAGAAACCCGACTTTTTAGTTCTTTCCTCCATAATTCAGCATTTTCAGTCTGTTTCTTGAATGCTGAAGGAAGACACTTGACACAGGGGACCCAGATAGTACACATGGTCCTTATACATCACTTTTTAAGAATGTGTTATCCCGAGTCACATCTGAGAGCAGAAGCTGATTAAATTTAAAAAAAATTATATGAAGGTATTCCCTTGTGTTAATAGTGGTGCATTTAGTGGAAGATTCCCTTACAGTGTTAGTTTCTTTGGTAACATCCCAAAAGAGGTCAGAAAAGCAGCCAAACACATTGAGTCCTATTCATTCAAGTATCCTGAAATACATAACTATTGTCTTTTCCAAAATAATCTTAGTTACCTAAAACTTTCTATTTCTTCCTCTTTCTCTAAAACTTTCAAATTCTGCTTTAGCTTCCATGAGTTCTAACTGGAAATGAAGAATCTTGCTTTCCAGATTATTTTCCAGAGCTCCCTGGAATAAGTTTAAAAAAATTAAATGAAGTATTATTTTGGACAAAACTTATTGAGAGAGATCTAGGTTCAAATCAGGTACCTGAGAACGGAGTGACATGAAAAATGAATGATTGCTTTGTCGTTTCACTAACAGCTTTGACATTCTAAGGTCTTTCAGCTTAGCTCAAGAACAAGAATTCTAAGAAATTTTTAAAAATAGAAATTTTCAATTCTTGTCTGCAACATATTTATATGCTTACATTTATTACTCTTGACTTTTTTCTAACATATTCCATCTTCAAGGTGAATCAATAAATGTATCAAAGTTGGGACAAAACTACCACCTTATATCTTTTAATTCCAACATCTCAGAAGATTGGAAGCTGAATGTGTTCAGAGAACAAGAAATGGAATAGTGCCCAAATATTGTCATATAAAGAACAAATAAAAGAATTTAGAATGCACTAGACGCATAGCACTAAGTTTGAGCCATTGTTACCTAAATGAGTACTATTACTACAAATGGATTCTTGTGACACATGGGAAGATCCTCTGAGCCTTTGATTGTTACCTAGGTCAGGGAATTGTTTCCAGGGATGTTTTAAAGGAGATTCAATGCTAACAGTGTAAGTTTGATGAAATCTTTAAAAGTTTGTTTCACAGATGAAATGTCTATAAAGGAAGAAGAAGCAACACACACATGGAGCATGCTAATGTTATATAAGGGCATAAGCATAATGCTCTGATGCTCAGTTAACTCCGGACAGTTCTGAGGGCAGTAGAAACTTCAGGTAATATTTTATAACCTGCTCTGAGGAGTGATTAGCACATACCATCAAAAGTAAAAGGTAAAATTGACTAGAAATTTTAATAAGGCCTCCTTTGATAGTCTTTGAACACTACCTTCAATAGAAAAGAAATCAAAATGGTTGGATGGCAATTTCTTCTGAGGGAGTGGTATAGTTTCTTCAGGAGGAAACTTTCACTTCTAACCCTCTAGAATACCCTGAGAAATGAATTTTTGTAGAGAAGGTGACCTGTGATAATTTGAGTTTTATGGAATTAAAAGAAGAAATAATAATGTTTTTCACAAATGCTCAACCAGGAAAAGAAATAACCCAAAGCCAAGAGTATTATGTCCAAATGGATGAAGTATTTATGATGTGGCTGAAGATACAACTTGAGAAAAGTCTAATAGCACGCATTGCCATCTAGTGGTACTAAATGGTATGAGCGCTGTGGTCTTAAGTCATCACCTTTGATGTGAGTCCTGGTTGATTCAATATACAAAGATGCTTGTATGTTACATAGGACTAAAATCGCCTCTTTCAAACATATTTCTCATTGTCTTGTTATAATGTTTAAAAATTTATACCATAAATTTACTTTTTTGAGTTAGGATGTTAGCTTCAGAAAGCCCCTAGCCAGGATGCAGAGGGCCAAAGATAACAACTAGATGAAACTAAATGTCTCAACTGTACAAGAACCAGACTTGCTATCAGACACCACACTGCCACCTGAAGGGATTCTATATAAAATGAGGATGATCACAGGCAACATTTGTGCATAAAAAAGCAAGAGCTGTGCACTTGAAAACTCTTCATAAAGGGTAATGTGGACTTACCTTCTTCTGCAGCGCAGCTTTCTTACAGAATTGCAGTGGTGAGGTTTAGCAGACAATGCTTGTCCAGTGCAGTTCTTTAGGTCTAAATTTCTATTACTATATTTTCCAAAAGTTCCCTTCCCCAAATTGACTGTTACACTTTTAAAAATCATTCTCTCTACTGGTGAGTATACAGGTAGATTATATACATACACACATATACACATATATATCTCCATATGTATATGGAGATATATATATATTTTTTATTCACCCCCCCCCCGCCCTCTGTACTGGGGATTTAACCCAGGGGCTTTGAGAAAGCTAGGAAATTGCTCTACCACTGAGGTATTTAGAGTCAGGATCTCACTAGGATTACAGGCATGTGCTGCTATTAGGGGCTGTATAATAGTGTCCTTGTGTCTATTCAGAAGGTTGAGTCAAACTGATGAAATTCAGCTGGGAAGAAAAAGGCCCTTTAGGGCTTTTATACCACCTCATAACTATCACAGCACAACTCCCTTTTTAGTTCAGCATCATTTTTGGAAAAAGTTCTTCTTAGTGACCCTTTCAATCTCTAACACACACTCAGGGATAAAGCCAGAGATTTTTGCTAAACTTTGAGTCCATAACACTGAAAACATTCCTGAAAAACTGTAGAAGCACATATCTGAAAACATCTTTGGGAATTTCATTGGAAAAACTAAAGGGTTTTTTTGTTTTTGTTTTTTGGGTTTTTTTTTTTTTTTTTAGGGAAAGTGTCTTTGATCACTCTATTTAAAAGGTGTGCAGCTATGAAGGTGTATATTCTTTCAACTTTGGATGAGTACTTGTTGAGTTCTTCCTATAGGCCAGCAAGGTTCCAGGCCAGTGCTTCCCCCAATGTTAGCCTGCATAGGAAACATCAAGGGATCTAGTTAAAATGCAGATTCTGATTCACTGGAGCTGGGGAGAGGTCTGAGATTCTGAATTTCCCATAAGCTCCTGGGTGGTGCCCACGCAGCTTGTCCATAGGCTGTATTCTGAGTAGTAAGAGTATGGGCACTGGGGATAAACAGGGGAACAAGATAGCCACTGTTGCTCTAGTCATTAGAATCAGGAGATTTGTATTCACTAGTGTTCATCCTGATCTCTGGGCCTCATTTTCTTCCTTTGTAAATGGGAAAAATAGTTTTTAGGGGGTGATTACCTAAAATGATGCATATCAAGCATCTGGCATGGTGCCCAGCATGTAGTAATCAGTTAAGCCAATGTCAGGATATGGTTGCAGATTTTCTCTTTTGCTTGGTGGGGAAAAACCTCCTTTTTCCCGAGATCATACCTCCCTTTCTTCCAGTGTCACATGGGCTTCAATCTTCTCTTGTCCAATCAGTTTCTTGATCTTTTCCATTTCAGGTAAAGTCTGGGTCCCTTTTCTATCCTGGTTTTTCAAGCCAGAAATCTGTTCTGGAGAGAGGGAAGAATAGCAGAGTGAGTGAGAAGGCTCAGCCTCAGACCCATGGTAACAAGCACATCCGAATACTCCTAGAGGCCTGCTGGGACCATGTTCGTGCAGTCCTTTGGAAATTGATAGCAGAGCCACCATTAAGTCACAGAGGATCTCTGTTACAATTAGAAAAAGGCATCCCTTTGTCTACGTATTCTTTTGCCATCTGCCAGGAAACTGTCAGCAAATAGGAAGGATGGTGCTTCTTAGAGTCCGGGACATTGGACAGCCTGTGCACCCTGCAGGGTGGTTCTGCTTGTTAGAGTCATTTCAGAGCCTACCTGGAAGTACACCCAGACACAGACCTGGAATTCCTACACTTCCAGTGGAAGTGCTTAGCTGTCAACACAGTGCAAGCCACTATTTAACACTAGGATAAGACTTTAAAGCATCAGGTGAGTCACTGTCTGCCAGCAGCTAACGCATGGCCTCAGATAGGCTAGATGAACACAAGGGGCTCAGGGAAGACAGTGACTTCAACTCAAGCACTTGAAAGTTTTGGCTATCTTAGTATGAACACAGCCTGTGACAAAGGCTTCCAGAAGTCACAAAACCTCTGCCAACCTTATACCGGCCTAGTATAGTGTAGGTCTTGTATCTCTGGAAATTACCTCACCCTGAGGAGTAGAGAGAGCCCAGGAGTTTACCTGTTCTAGTTCTGAGATCTGGAACTGGTAAAATGTGTGAATTTTTTCCCCTGTACTGAGGATTGAATGCAGATCCTTGTGTATACTAGCAGAGTGTTCTGCTACTGGGATATATGCTTACCTTTTTAAATTTTTATTTGGAGATGGAATCTCACTAAGTTGTTCAGGTTGTCCTTGAACTTGTGATCCTTCTGCTTCAGCCTCCTGAGCAGTTGGGAGTATAGGTATGCCCAAGTAAGATATGACAAGTTTTAATGCATTAGATGAGAATTTTCATGTAAATTATACTCCCTTTTCACATATGTCCTATCCAAAGAACGGTTCCTCAGAGAAAACTCAGAGCAGCTTTTCTTAATTCTGACTGCACCTTAGAATCACTTGAAGAGCTTTTTAGAAAAGCCCAAACTCCAAGGCTCACTCTAGACTACATGTGGTCCTCAGATCAGCTGGTATAGGCCTTACCTAGGAATTTATTAGAAATGCAAATTCACAGGCCCCATTTCCAACCTATTGAATCAAACTTTGGGGTTGTGCCCAGCCATCTGTGTTACAACAAACCCTCCAGGTTTGGATGTAGCTGAAGTTTTCTATCCAGTTTTTGAGCACCTCTCAAAGCCCAGTCAGTGATCATGGACTGTGCAAGTCAACACAGAAAGCAGTAGTAACAAACTTGCCTTCAGGGCACCTTGGGGTTATCATGGGATTAGTGGTGGGGTAAATTGGCTGCATGTTAAAATTTCTAAATTCATTTCTTTAACTCTGCTATTTCATTTCTATGAATCTCTTCTGCTGAAATATTTTGTGTATACAATATATAATAGAGAATTATTGATAATTATGAAAACTTAGACCTAAAGTAAATAGGTTAAATAAGTGTTGGTCAACCCTATTATGAAACACTATCTAGCTTTTTAAAGCATGTGGCAGCTCTCCATGCGCAGGCATGTAATGAACTACAAGGTACATGGAAGGGAGCCCAGCTGCTCAACTCCCAGGTCTGCTACTTATCCACTATGAAGCCACCCAAACCATTTAACCTTACTTATGTGACTCAATATAATATCCATTTCACACATGAAACGAACATCAAGGCTCTTATGAGACTTAAACAATGAATAGCTGTATGAAAAACAGTACCTAGCATATAGCATGGGCTATATAAATATTTGTTAAATTATAAAATACACTGCTGAATAAAAGGTATGGAACAATTTTTAATATGGTTAAAAGAGACACATGAATATATACATGGAAAATCTATGTAAGGCTATGGATATCAAGAAGTTCTTCAGAGTGGTTTCCTTACTGAGTAGAACTGGAGCTAGAGGCATAAAACTAGTTTTTCCTTTTACAATTAATTTCATGCAAATAACATCTATAGAAAAAAATTGCCACAATGAAGCCCTAAACCTTAAAAAATTAGAACATGAATGGGAACATGGACATGCCAAGGCTCTCCACCCACAGAAGACAGCCTTGCTCTGCAGCCAAGGCTCTTCCCAAGCTCCTCGCTCCAAGCTCTTGCTTGGGTTGGAAGCCCAGCTGAGAGGACCTTGCAGGTTCTTGTTCTCCCTCCTCACTGTCTCCTGGCCCTCACTGCTCTCTTCATAAGTGTGCTTGAGCTCAAGGATCTCAGTGCTAAGAGCTCAGGCCTCCTTCTGAGAAGCAGCCAGTAATGCCTGGGACTCCTCATGCTTCTGCTTTCCCAAGTCAGCAAGGGCCTTCTCAGAGTGCTGCTGATTGTGGTCCAGTGCAGCTGCTACAGAGCAGACCTTCCCAAGCTCAGACAGGACATCCCCCAGCTCAAGATGCAGTTGGTGCCAGGCCCTTGCCACAGAGGCGTTCTTGGCATTGGCCACCTGGATGGCTTCAGCAATCTCCTGTAAGTTAATTGCCAGCTTCTTCCTGAGCGGGGCAGGCCCACAGGGCACGTGAGACATCAACTGTCACAGAGCTCATCAAGTCTGTCCAGGGCTCAGGTACCAAATAGGATGGCCTCAGAGGATGGCTTAATAGAATGAAATAAAAGCAGCTCCTTCTACCTAAAGAACCCAGTTGTCGGCTGGCCACTGTCCTCTGGCTCCTGTGATTGCATGGATTTTATTTCCCCTTTCTTTGCAGCCTGGACTTGGAACTCAGAATCTCTTTGAATTCCTATAAATATTTACTTGCCCTAAAACTATAATAAATAATACATAATTTATTGACAACTTCAGAAGAATTGGGGGAAATAAGATTGTTCTGAACCCCTTACCAATAGTAAGCTATGTGAAAATCCTCAGGCACAGTTGCTTCCAAGGAACCCTCATGCTCTCCTGTGCAGTCCCTCAACCTCTCATCATGTGGCTCCTAAACGTGACACATTTTTCTCTCCTCTCTTAATGTCTTCTACGTATCAGCTCCTGGGCTGAGATTCCTATTCATCCTAGATCCACCCATCATGACGTCCACTTAACAGGTCCCAGTGCTCTTGTGGGACCCTGTAGTCACTCCAGCATCCTCTATGATGGAGTGGTTTATTAAAGTGCTTCCTCCATCACCCCCATAACCCAGCACTCAAGAATTCCTCATGAATAAAATGTGTTCTCTTACTTACGTCTCCTGCAGGGTTGCTGGCTGTCCCATTCTTACTCTCTCCTTACACTTCTTAGATGAAAGGAACTGTATATGCCAAAGCTTTCCTGCTCCACTGTTATTAAACTGAAAAAGGTCCCCATGAATCAACATGCGCCACACAACTAGTCCCATCAGTCAGAGCTCTCCAGAGGAGTGGAAAGAGTAGAATGCATATATAAGAGGGGTTGATTAGACTGGCTTACACGATCAGAGGCTGAATACTTCCACAGTAGTTGTCTGCAGGCTGGATAGCTGAGGAAGCCAGTAGCTGCTCAGCCCAAGAAGCTGGAAATCTCAGAACAAAAGGGACCAGTGATGTAGTCCCAGCCTAACACTGAACACCTGGATGCCCTTGGGGAGTGGCTGGTGCAAGTCTATGTACAAAGGTTGAATAATCTATCATCTGATATCCAGAGATGGCAGCAAACAGCAGCTAGCAAGCAAACAAAACAACACTTCAACTGAAGAAGCGCCTAGCCTGTGGGAGCTGCCCTTTTCTTCTGTGTTTCGTTCCATCTAGTCCCTCAATCCCCTGGACCAACATTGGACCACACATTTGATGTGGGTCTTTCTCATTTCTCTGACCAACAAGGTTCTGGAAACCACCCACAGAAATACACCCAAAGTGTTTGTGTGCTTTACCAGTGTTCTAGTCACCGCTCATTTCTCCCAGGTTAAGAACCAGAATTCAGCATCACAGAGCCCAATAGAGCAGTGTGGTAATAAAGCTCCCCCCATCTTTTTTTGAGTGGAATCCTACAAAACTAGTCTCTGCTCAGCATTCAAGAAGGTTCTGTGCTCAAGAAACAACTCTTTGCTCACTGGATTTCTGACCATGTCACTTCACTTTTTGTTTATTCTTCCTAAGAGGATATCCTGATACTTTATCCAACCTAAAACAGGAGTCTAATAAAATAATTACATTCATTGTGACTACTTTAGAAATACTTGATTAGTATCCAGAAAACAGGAGTGTACTTTGGGTGATCCACTCTGCTGAGGGACTCAGGACATGAGATTTTCAATGGTAAAACTGGGGAATTCCAGGGCAAATAAAAATAATAGGTCACCCTTACATTACTGATAATTTTATATTTAATAAAAGCTACCTATTTAGCTGTTAAACTTGCTAACCATGAGCACCTACTTAGTTGCTTAGCATAGGTAAATAAATGTGAGAGAGTAAGAAACCAAATTCTTATTCTTGAAGAATATTGAACTCCAATTTTTTTTTTAAAAAAAGGCAAAATAGTAATTGGGTTCAGGTGAGCTTGATTCTGCTAATCTAACTCATGTGAACCCCATCCTGAAAGCAAATCAGGCAGATCTTCAAATTTCCAAACTGAAAAACATAGGATCCTAAATATATTTGTAGTTGCCTACCTCTAGGGGATTTAGATGTAATGGTTTATATATTTGGCATTCAAATAATTGTTAAAAGGATCTTCAAATATTACCATGTTACCTATTATTTTCCTTTAGTTGTCATATCCTACAAAACTAGTTCAAACAAATTCATGTGGTCATAAAGTAGTCTATATTTTTTCCTTCTTTTCTACCCACCTAGTTTGGCAACTATTAATTGCTGTGACTATAATAAGAAGAAAAACTTAAAGCAGTAAAGATTTATTTTAGGTTCACCATTTCAGAGGTCCAACCCATGTCTGGCTGAGTGCATTGTTCTGGGCCTGAGGTGAGACAGAGCATAATGGGGGAGGGTGTGGCAGAAAAAGGTTGCTCAGCTCATGACATTCAGGAAGCAGAAAGTCATAGAATGCAGGAGGAACCAAGGACAAGATATAGTCCAAGGACATGGCCCCTGTCAGCCACACCCACCTGCTTATCATTACAAACCAGTAATCCATTCAAATCATTAATCCTTCAAATGGATTATTCCATTGAGGAGGTTAAAACTCTCATAACCCAATCTTTTCACCTCTGAACACTGCCACATTGCCTAATATATGAGATTTTGGGGGGGCACACTTAGCTGCTCAGGCACTAAGAGGCTACTGTAGCCAGGGTCCAAAAAGGCCCAGCTACTATTTAAGCTGGTAGCAGACCTTGGCATATTCCATGTGGTGCTGTTTCTGCAGGAATGCAGGATGCTGAAGTTAAGAGCTCATGAGGGCTTCCACTGAGATTTCAAAGGAAGGCATGGTATTTTAGGCAAAGAGTAGCAGAGTCAGAATTCCTGTGGGTAACCCGAGAGGGTGATGCATGAAGTTGTGACAATGAAACCAACACTGCAATGGAGACTTGAAGAAGTAAGAAATATGAAGACTGTGGACCATCTGCCAAAAATGTCTGCAGTCTGTGGACAGAGTCAGGTCAGGAGAGAGACCATGTGGGTTGCAACCAACAAGGCCATAGGAGTAGGGCTGCCCAAGCCCTTTTGGGCCCACATCTCCCTACCACATGCCTCCAATGCTGAACATGGAGTTAATGAACTTAATATTTGCCCTGCCTAATTTTTTTGTCTTGGTTTGGCCCCCCTTCCCTTTTTATGCTCCCATTTCCTCTGTTTTGGAATGGGAATGTCTTCCCTTTGCCATTGTATACTATATGTGTGGATTAGTAAGTTTTCTCTAGAGGAAAGGAACCAAGAGAATATTTATATGTATGATTATAAAAAGGGGAATTTATTAGATTGGCTTCATCACCAGAAGCTGGATTATCCCACATACCTCTGGCTGCACACCAAAGAACCAGAGGGACCAATAATTGCTCAGTTCAAGAAGCTGTAGCCTCAGATAAAAGGGCCAATGATGCAGCCCAAGTCCAAGACTAAAGACCCAGGAACTCCTTGGAGAATCACTGTTCAGAGTCCAGAGGAAAAGAGAGAAGGAGCTGGAGTTTAACATTCTCAGATAATGGTGGCAGCAATCAATACACCCACTAAGAATAGAGCTTACATCTGCCTCAGATTCCTCCTGCTTGGGCTTTTTGTTCTATCTGGGGCTCAAATCTATTGGACTGTGAAGCTCATATTTAGATTAGATGGGGGTCTCTTCTCAATTTGCTGCCCCACATACTAATTATCTATGGATGTGTCCTTTATGGACACATCCCGAAGTATTAATCCTAGAAACTCATAATCCAATCAAGTTGACAATCCAGATTAACCATCACACATTAAAGAAACCATTAAACAAGATGACAGGAACTTCAACTTGAAATCTTCAATTATTAGAAGCAAATGACAGATTTGATATAAGGAGGCATTGCAGTTCAAAGCCCCATTTTTCTGGGGTCCAGAATTTTTGTAAAACACCTACGACAGGTATTTTTAGTATCTGTCATTTCAAAACCCTTTTTAAGTTACTGCAGATACAGAGATGGATCACTTGGTACTCCTTCTGGGACAGAACACAGCAGTTGTTCCACAACTACACAGTAATGCGGCTCAACGATTTAGGTGAAGACCGCAAAAAACATCATTTCTGGTTGAAGTTAAAAAGAAATGTATTGATCTGCGCTGGATTTCTGCCAAGTTACCAGGCCAGGGACACATCCTTTTCAGTAAACCCTTAGTGATTATAAGCTGAGGTTAGTTTGATGCTTTCTCTCAAATATATAGTCTCTCAACCACTAAGCAAATATTTTCAGTACTGTACCCTGGTACTGGGTCTTCATTTAGCTCGTCTCCAAATTTGTATAGCTCCTGAGAGAAACTTTTAAAACCTCTTCATGGCATTGGCTATGAAATTGATATTCTAACCTTAGGTGTGGCCTGGGGATGACTTCTTTTCAAAGCAACCTCTGTCCCATAAAGCAGGCTGATAGATGCTAATATGTTTCTAAATATCACTGTCCATTTTCACAGAGCTGCACTTGTGTATAACTTAGTCTATAAGTTATACACCAGAGACACAACTATGATGAATGAATATGTATATTTATACACACACATACTCAATTATTTAGGTGTTCCAAATAAAATGTAGTATTTTAAGTGATATCCCACTTCTCAGACCATAGTTTGAAGATATATCTTCAATAGAGATTTCACTTGTACCCCTACAGAGGGGCTTCTTTCTTCTCCTGGACTTCTTTATAGTCTCTTCCATTTTAACAATACTTTTTAGCCTCCTAGAGTATGTGCTTCTTGCCACTAGTGATGATTTTGCTTTGGTCTTGGGCTTGCTCATGCATGCTGCAAAGATTTGCTAAATACACCATGAGATCTTGAAGACCCAGTCATTATTCTCAGACTCCTATGTGTGATCAGCCCCAAGTGAAGGATAATCCTGCACTACTCACCTAGCATCCTCCAACTCTTCAGTTCTCTGGATGACATCATGTTCATAATTCTTTCTCCACTGCACCACTTTAGTATTGCCTTTGGATAGGGTCCAGTGAAGCTCAGCCATGACCTCTGGTTCTTCCTTACAGAAGGGCATAGTCATGCCTAATTGACAGCAAATGGGCCAGGGAACTCTTGAGACTAGAAGGGACACATGTTTTAAAAATGGCACACCATCATTAACAAGGAAATTCTTGGAGGTGACATAATTTTTTTAAAAGATAAAGTTAATAACAACCTGCCACAATTCAAGCAGAACTTCAACCTCACAAGATAATATCAGGGGTGAAATTTGGGACAAGAAGAGAAAGGATAGGGAGTAACTAATTTTCCATTAAGACAGGAAAGAGTTCCATTTAGGGAAATGGCAATCCAACTATGTGGGCTTCAGTGATGGACAGGCTTGGAGTCCTAGAAATAGTGGAGAACACAAAGATAGCAAGGAGAAGTTCATTATTATTTAGGCACTAAGATTTGTTTTAACTGATATGTGAGACTCAGATCCTGTTTGATACACAAAGAACTACTGTGTTTCAGACTAGCCTTTTTATTCAGTGGATTATGAAACATCTTTAATCTCACCTGTAAACCTCTGAAAACTTCACCTCTCATCACTTTAAAATCATGCTCTCCAACAAGGCTTTCTGTAGTAATCAAAATATTCTATGTGTACACTGTCTAAGATGATAATGAATAGCCACATGTAGCTGTTGAACACTGAGACTGTGCCCAGAATATGAGTTGTCAAAACTGAGTCTTTAATTTCAATTGATATATGTTTAAATTTAGATAACTATCTGTATAGTATAGTAGCAGCTCCTGCTGAGTTTAATGAGAATTTCTGTCATTAAATTGTGGTCTAGCCAACCAATCAGCATTATTCCTAGGAGGTGACCTCATATAGTAGGAAGAACAGTGTCTTGACCAATCTTCATGGGTCCATTTCACAAATTAAAGGCAGAATCATCTTAGGCAACTGCAGCTCTGAACACAAAGCTTATTTAATGGCACCCACAGCCAGACATCCTTGGGCAGTGAATGAGGAGCATTGATACAAGTTGAGTCTGAGCAGGACACAGGATTTGGAATCAGGTAAACTTGGATTAAAATTATTTCTCTTCTTCTTTAACATGTATTTTTGAGTACCCATTTTAGGCATTAGTATTGTAGAAGTAAAGGAGATAAAGACAAGGTCTTTGCCTTAAAGAACCAAAAAAAAAAAAAAAATTAAGGGAATACACAAAAGTCATCATGTAAACTTATTAATAGACATTCTAGTAGTTTTTAAAAAAACCAACATGATATATAGTATTTGTCTTCTCATCATTCCTCAAAGAACTCTGGGGAGGGAATAGCAATGGAAATAGCAGTTAAAACAATTCTAAGGTATGGATTATAAAGGCTTATTTAAGAGGCAGATAGAAAGCCAGGGGAACTGGAGGGGATTAATGAAGGAGGCAGATGTGTGAGGTAAGTTCACAAGAGGAGACTGGAGCCCAATCAAGGTGGCTTTGTAGACCAATGGGAAGCCCCTGTGAAGGCAGCCAGAAAGATTTTCTAAAATCTAAATCAAGGCATCTCACTATGCAAATTCCTTCACATTGCATCTCTAGCTGTGTGACCTTCATCAAGTTATCTTCTTACAGCCGTTGTTTCTTCATGTTTAATGAATTCTACTTGCTTAATAAAACTGATACAAAACATGAGAGAAGTATCCAGAAAAACGTCTGATGTATAAACAGTGGCAGTAATTTAAAAACTTAGAGGCCCAGGACGGTCCCCAATTACCAGGCCCTCCCCCATAGACCTTCAGCCCCACCTGGAGCCTAGGCCTAGCCCACCTACATCTTGGGACACTGGAGCCATTTCCATAGCCCTCCCCACACAGTAGCCTCCATCTAGGGAGAACAGACAATGCCTGGAGTCAGCTTAATGTCCAAATAGGCAGCTCAAAGCCATTGTAAGGCCCATCCTTTCAGCCCCATCTCTAAAAATAGTTGCATCTATCTTAGGACACCCCCACTCCTATCTTGAGATACCTCCACTATTGCTGCCACCACCTTTAGTTGCAGTAGCATCCACCTATGGACACCGGCCGTGGACTGGAAGCCCAACACCAAGGTGTGGTATAGATAATCTGCAGGGACACTACAAGATTATAGGATAGAAATTGCAATACCTCAGGTCCACACTGCAAGAAAGGAAGACACATAGACAACATGAAAAAGCAAGGGAAGAAAGTGCTCCAAACAAACCAAGATACTACAATAATAGAATCCATGGACAGAGCAATTGATGAAATGTCAGAGAAGGAATTCAGAATTTACCTAATTAAAATGATCTGCAAAATAAAAAGAATGACCTAAGGGATCAAATACAGACAAAAATTGATCTCTCCAAAAAGAGATAAGATAACAAATACAGGTAACCATTGATCACACCAACAAAGAGATAAGGGAACAAACACAGGCAACCATTGATCACACCAACAAAGAGATAAAGGAGTAAATACAGGTAGCAAAAGATTACTTCAATATATAAAGATTCTGAAAAAAAATCATAAATTCTTGAAAATAAGGAAAAAATAAACCAAATAAAAAACTCAATAGAAAGCATCACCAACAGACTAGGTCACTGGGAAGACAGATCATTACACAATGAAGACAAAATGTACAATCTTGAAAGTAAAGTTGACCACCCAGTGAGGATAAGAAACTATGAACAGAACATCCAAGAATTATGGGATAGCATCAAAAGACAAAATGTAAGATTTATTGGGATAGAGAAAGGCACGGAGATTCAAAGGAAAGAAATGGAACCCACCATTTGAAACAAGTTAACCTACTCTTCGTTCTGTACCCAAAGAACTTAAAATCAGCATACCATAGAACTGCAGCCACATCAATGTTTATAGCAGCTCAATTCATAATAGCTAAACTGTGGAACCAACCTAGATGCCCTTCAATAGATGAATAAAGAAAGTGTGGTATAAATACAAAATGGAACCTTACTCAGTATTAAAAGAGAATAAAATTATGGCATTTGCAGGTAAATGGATGGGGTTGAAGAATATCATGCTAAGCAAAGTAAGCCAATCCCCCAAAAACCAAAGGCTGATTTTTTTCTCTGATAAATGGATGCTGATCCATAGTGGGGAAGGGGGAGGCAAGGGAAGGATGGAGGAACTTTAATTGGGGAAAGGGAAGGGGGAATAGGGCAGGAAAGATGATAGAATGAGATGAACATCATTACCCTAGGTACATGTGTGACTGCACATATGGTGTGATGCTACAACGTGTACAACCAGAGAAATGAAAAAATTGGAATACATTAGTTTAATTTACAAATGAAGCAAAAATATAATTATCTAAAAATTATATATTCATAAATTGGGAGAGCCATATGTAAGCTCTTTGCTTCCCTAGCTGCTATGGGCTGAGCAGCATTCCTCTACTATGTTCTACCACCATGATATTTCTACCTTGGAGCCAACTAATCATGGACTGAACTTCTAAAACCATGAGCCAAAATAAATTTTTCCTTTTCCATGTTGCTTGTTAGCTATTTTGATCACAGGGGTGAAACAAATATAGCTCCTGAGAGGGCATCTCAGGAGCTTGTAAGACCACAGCCATCTCAGGCTCAGTGAAGTTAGAGTGAAAATTTTCTTAAGAGACCAGTGGGAATCCTTCTTGCACAAGCAGGCCATATGTGTGTGTGTGTGTGTGTGTGTGTGTGTGTGTGTGTGTATGCCTTTTAGTGAAATCATGTATAAGTGAGGTACTGTGGTGTCATAGTAAAACGATACTTGAACATAAACTAATAATTAGCCTGAAACACCTGAACTTAAAAAATTCATCTTTCATCTTTTCACTCTGCTTTCACCCTAAAGAGTAATTTTCCTTTGGGTCACCTGCTAACATTATTTATTCCATAGGAAAAAGATGACTACTTTCTACAACTCAAAGTAAAATAATATTTAGGTAACTCATCTCCACATTCTACTTTTCTGTGTAATTATATGCTTTTCAGTGAGCAAGTCAGAATCAGATTCATAGACTTACTGACATTCTGTTAACAATGCAAAATGGAAGTATATACATTGCTTACTCTGAATTTGGTAAACTGTAGAAGTGATTTTAATTACTTCCTAGTACTTACAAGGTCCAATATGGGTTTTTTTCCCATTACATCTATAGCACTTTCTCTTTATCCTTTTTTGGGCGGGTAGAGTATGGTAAGAAAACAGAGGTACTCTACCACTGAGCTGTATCCCCCGCCATTTTTAATATTTTAGAGACAGGGTCTTGCTAAATTTCTGATGCTGGCTTTGAACCCTTGATCCCCCTGCCTCAGCCTTCTGAGCTGCTAGGATTACAAGTGTTTGAACAAAATTTTTTAAAAACACAATTAATGTTAGGAAATAATAAGTATGTTACCCTGATCTCCTACTCTAGCTGCCCTCTCAGTTCTTTAATTTACTGAGTAAAAGTGCTCTTTTCCCTGGTAAATTGGCTTATCAGGTCCCTGTTTTTGTTTTTGTACTTCCCCCTTGCTACTATCAAGTTCTAAAGCTCTCAACATTAAAGGAAGGATCAAGTTCTAAAGCTCTATCAAGTTCTAAAGCTCTCAACATTAAAGCAGCAGTTGTTATGGTTTGTATGTGAAGCATCCTCCAAAAGCTCACAAGTAAGACAATGTAAGAAAGTTTAGAAAAGAAATGATTGGGTTGTGAGAGCATTAACCCAATCAATGAATTAATCCTCTGATGTGTGATTAAGTGATCCATATCTGGAAGAGACAGGCACTGGCTTTGTGATAAATATTTGTATCTGGTGAGTAGATTCTCTTACTCTGCTCTCTGATCACCATGTGGACTGCTTCCCTCCTCCATACTCTTCCATCATGATATTCAGCCTCACCTTAAGCCCCAAGGAATGGACCTGGCTGTCTATGGATTGAGACCTCAGAAACCATAGCCTCCAAATAAACTTTTTCTCCTTTAAAATTGTTCAGATTGGGTCCTATAGTCATAGCAGTGGAAAAAGCTGACTAAAATAGCAGTTCCCAGACCTTTTGATATTTCTTTATATGCTTAAACATTATTGAAGACCTCAAAGAGATTATTTCATAATACTACGTAATATATTAAAATGAAAGCAGAGAAACTTAAAACACCAATTTAAACAGCTATTCACATACTTTCCCAAGAGTTATATAGGCCTAGTGAAAGACCAAAGTTCCTGGTTTTAGTATAATCATTTAAAAAAAGAAGCATTGAAAAAGACAGGAAGGAGTTATTTATGTCATCTTTCCCTGAACTCCAAGCAGTTTAGAGAGAGATGTCTCCTATATGAGGAAAGAAGATGGAATTAGGTCCAGGCCTTCGGCTTATTACAAGGATTTAAGGAACTCAAAAACTTAATAGTGTCACTGTTCTATACTGATTTTAAATCCTTTGGGTATAAACTGAGAAGTGGGATAGCTGGGTCAAATGGTGGTTCTGTTCCAAGTTTACTGAGGAATATCTATTCCACTTTTCATGATGGTTGCACTAATTTGCAGTCCCACCAGCAATGTATAAGGGTACCTTTTTCCCCACACTCTCACCAACATTTATTGTTGTTTGTATTCTTTTTTTTTAATATTTTTTAGTTTTCGGAGGACACAACACCTTTGTTTGTATGTGGTGCTGAGGATCGAAGCCGGGCCGCATACATGCCAGGCGAGTGCACTACTGCTTGAGCCACATCCCCAGTAGCTGTTTGTATTCTTGATGATTGTCATTATAACTGGAGTGAGATGAAATAGAGTAGTTTGGATTTGCATTTCTCTAATTGCTAGAGATGTTGAACATTTTTTCATGTTTGTTGATCGATTGCATTTCTTCTTCTGTGAAGTGTCTGTTCAGTTCCTTCGCCCATTTATTGATTGAGTTATTTGGTTTTTTGGTGTTCAGTTTTTTGAATTCTTTATATATCCTGGAGATTAATGCTCTGAGGTGTGTGTGGTAAAGGTTTTCTTCCATTCTGTAGGCTCTCTGTTCAAGTTCTTAATTGTTTTCTTTGCTGAGAAGAAGCTTTTTAGTTTGAATGCATCCCATTTATTAATTTTTGATTTTATTTTCTGTGCTTTAGGAGTCTTATTAAGGAAGTCAGATCCTAGGGTGACATGGTGAAGATTTGGGCCTACAGTGACACAGCCACATCAATGTTTATAGCTGCTCAACTCACAATAGCTAACTATGGAATCAACCTATGTGTCCTTCAACAGATGAAAGGATAAAGAAAATGTGGTATATACACAAGGGAATATTACTCAGCCTTAAAGCAGAATAAAATTGTGGCATTTGCCAATAAATGGATGGAGCTGGAGAATATCATGTTAAGCAAAATAATCCTATCCCTAAAACCAAAAGTCAAATGTTTTCTCGGATATGTGGATGCTAATTCACAGTAAGTGAGAAGGGGCTAGGGAAGAATAGAGTTATTTGGGATTAGGTAGAGGGGAATGAAGGGAGGGGAGGGGTATGGGAGTAGGAAGGACAGTAGAATTAATCTGACATTATTACTCTATGTACATATATGACTATACGACTGGCATAATTCTACACCGTGTACAACCAGAAGGAGGATAAAATACTCCATTAATGCATGATGTGTCAAAATGCATTCTACTGTCATATATTACTATTTAGAACTAATTTAAAAGGACATAATAAAGATGATCATGAACAGAAAAAGCTGTAGCATAAAAAATATACACTAAAACTGTTTTCATCTCTTAAACAAGCTTCAGAATCAGTAGTATTGACAGCTAAAAGAAATGAGAATAATAATTATTCATGCCCTTTTTTATTTTGTGGTGTGTGTGTGTGTGTGTGTGTGTGTAAAATTCATTGACAGAGATACAGGAGAAGAAGTCAATATTAATAAAAACTAATACCTGTTGAGTGATTTAAAAAACTCCAGAGCAAAATATCAAATATCCTGGTTAAAAAGTTGGGCAATAAACCTACATAAAGATTTCTCAAAAGAAGATATACAAATGGCAATGAGTTTGTGAAAAAAAATGTTCAACATCATTGCCAGAATAATGTAAATCAAAACTATGACATGTCACCTCACCCTAGTAAAAATGATTATTATCAAAAAGACTTAAAGTTAACAAGTCCTGGTGAGGATGCAAAAAAAGAAAATCACGTGTTTACTGGGGAAAATGTAAATTAGTCCAACAATTATGCAAAATAGTATGGAGGCTCCTCAAAAAATTAGAAATAGAACTATCATAATGATCCAGGCATTCTACAATTGGTATCTAGCCAAAGAAATTGAAATCAGTATGTTGAAGAGACATTTGCATTCACACATTTATTGCAGTACTCTTATGTGGAAAATAAAAAAGTTTATCTAGTAAAAGTTGAGAGTACAAGACTGGGGATGGGGATATAACTCAATGATAGAACGATTGTCCATCAGGGTGAAGTCATGGGTTTCATCCCTCGTACAAAAAAACAAAACACAACAAAATGCACATAAAAAAAAATCACAGAAATCATAAGTTGAGAGTAGAACGTTAGTTACCAGAGGCTGCAGAGAGTGGGGAGGGAGAAGACATGGGGACAGTTTGTTCAATGGGTACTAAATTATAGTTAGATAGGAGTAAGAGGTACATAGAATGACTATAGATAACAATAATATACTATATATTTCAAAAACTTAAAAGATAGGATTTTGAGTATTTTCATAAAGAAATGAAAAATATTTGAGTAGATATGTTACACAACACATACATATATTAAAATAGCACATGGTATCTGAATAAATGTGTACAATTTACAACAGACACTAGTATGGCAATATGTAAAAACGTGGATGTATAACTGATGTGATTCTGCAATCTGTATAGAGGGAAAAAATGGGAGTTCATAACCCACTTGAATCAAATGTATAAAATATGATATGTCAAGAACTATGTAATGTTTTGAACAACTAATAATAAAACTTAAAAAAAATTAAAATAATTAAAAGTAAATTTAAGTTCAAATTAAAAACAAGCAAATAAAAGTTACATTTTATTTTCCCCTGTATAAATTATATATTTTATATTATTAAAATAGGAAATAAAATCAAACAAACAATGAAAAAATAAATGCATAATAAATTTTTCAAGAATTTTCAAATTACTTCAATGACTATAGGAAACAAGGACTATTCATTCTCTTTAAATACAAATTTTATATAAATATACTTAGAATGAATTCTCAGGTAGAAAATGCTTATTTGAGAGCATTTATTTTCACAACCTGCTTTGGTTATTAAAATGTTTTCACATTTAGTCCTTGATAATGCCTGTGTTCATGTAGAAATTGAAGGTCTGAATGATACTTTTAAATTTCTAAAATTTCTGAGTCTAGCTAACATAGAACTAAATTCACGGCACACTTTCCCACCTTAAACAAACAGAAAATTAAAACTTACTGACAACATAATTTTTGAAGACTTGGAAGTACTGGCAGAGAAATATCCAAATTTTACCTACCTCAATCTGAGTGGAAACAAAATCAAAATCTCAGTGCACTGGAACTTTTAAAATTTTTAACATTTGAAAGGTCTCGAGTTTCTTAACTGTCAGAGAAGATTACAGAGAAAATATGTGTGCATTGCAGCAGCAAATCATACACTTAAATGGATTTGATCAGGAAAATAATGAAGCACCACACTCGAAAAGTGTGATTTTTCTATTTTTTGTTTGATCATTCCAAATAAGACTCACTACTCCATGAATGATCATATTGTATGCAGAGAAAAACTTTCATGGAACCCCACTATGAAATTTCCCATTTACTTAGAATCTTAATTTTTCTAACTCAAACTCACTATAATAGTCATTTTTAGCCCATAATTAAAATTTGATCACTTTTACATAAGTGTTGTTTGGTGCACTTCATTTCTTGGTTATAAAGTTATTTACAAATTAGCTGAAACTATAGTCAACTGAGATACAAAATGATAATAGAGATCTTTAATGTAAAGACAATGACTTTTGTTCTGGCTGGGGATACTTGAGTGCTTATTTGTCACATGAGTAACTTGCAAAGTAGAAGCAGAACAGTAAAAATTCTATTCAGAAATACATAGCCTGTATTTTATGATGACTGATAAGATTCTCTTTCCTGTTTTATTCCCCTCCATTTATCCTAAAAGAATGTTGGGAAACTTCTGAACACCCAGGAAAATATTTAGTATAATGTCTCAACCACCTTTTCAGACCTGTCTGGTTTTACACAAGCAAAGTGGAGGAAACTGAATATCTTCTGAGGTATGAATATTGTTACTAATACAATTCTATATAACAAGCTCCGATTCCTGTAAATCTTTTTTTGGTTGAAAACAGGAAGACTTGTGGGATGAAGAAAGAAAATCAGTAGAGGAGGTTTTTGAAGTTCCTCAAAATTCAGAATAATTACCTGTTGATAATTAGCAGATGTTCAAGATTTTAAGATGGCTTGCCCAATGGTTTGGATACCAGTTCTTTGAAATGTTTATAAATTTTCTCAGTACAACCTTCTTATAGTCTTAACACATGACCTGATATAGAATTTAATTAGAGCTAGGTAGTTGGAAAAGTATTTGAAACTAAATCAATATTAAAATTAAGATTTATTTTAAAGTGGATGTCCATTAGAAATATAAAAATATTTGGTATTAGCTTGTTTCCTTTTATAGCTACGAAGAAATATAATGAACAGACAGTAACATTTCCATTTTTGTCATGGAGGCTCCATGTTCTAGGCAAGTGCTTTTTAAATCTAGACTATCTAAAATCTGTTCCCCTTGTTTTAAATATTTGTAAGTTTTATAAAAGTTAGTGTCAGCAGATTAATTGAAATTATGCTTCTATACTGGGACACATTTAAACTACAGAGTATATAGTAAGTACTGCTGCTGCTTTTTAGTTTAAAATTTATGACTTGACATTTTAAAGTAAAAATTATGAAGTTACTTGTGGAGAATGAGAAATGTTGCAAAACTGACTGAAATAAAATGCTTGGGATAAATTTAGTGGGGGGATTGGAATCACCAAAAGAATAACATTTCTCTCCTAATTTTAACAACAGAAGTACCCTGCTTTTGGTTCTAAGAGTTCTCATTGCATATTCTGCCTGATATAAAAGTACTTATTTTTAAAATGTAATGTATATATTGGCTTTCTTATCATCTATGCAATCCAAATTAGAGTTCTTTACCTTGCAAACAATACTTAGAGCCTCCAGATAACTTTTAAGACTTATTTAGATGTGTGGATGGCATTTTTATACAATTAAGTAAAGGAGGGTTTTATATATCATAGTTTTTGATCCCGTTTTAATGCCTTTTGTGTGGCAGTATGTGTACAGGATGTTAAGTTAGTCAAAAATCAATCCTTAAAAACTTTGATGTGAATACTTTCAAGCAACTGTGTTCTGAAAAAGGAATGACAGTGTTAAAACAAAACAAAAAATATTTCTATAGTATTCTTTTCTAAAAAATTATTATTTAAAAAAATACAAAACATGCTAACATGTTAATATAAGCAAAAAATAGGAAAAATTGTTATTTCCTAAACCCAGCAAACATTTTTGTTTTGATATTGTCATATATGGATATTATACACACACATACATACATATATATGTATCTGTGTGTGTGTGTGTGTGTGTGTATTTTTTTTTAACTCCCTGGCTTAAGAGAGCAAGAGTCTCATGTTTGCTTTTATATTATATCTACTATAATATAATTGTTTTGTTTGATGTATATAAAGAAAATCAGCCTCCTACAGCATCTAGTTCCAAAAGGGAAATATATTTTTGTAGTCTCTGTGATTGTGACCATCATTTGACACAACACCAGAAACCAATAAATGAAAGCTTCTTTTTTGTAAAAAAAAAAAAAAAGAAAAAAGAAAAGAAAAAAAATTAGTTGTAGATGGACACAATGCCTTTATTTCATTTATTTTTATGTAGTGCTAAGGATTGAACCCAGTGCATCATATGTGTGAGGCAAGCACTCCATCACTGAGCTATAACACCAGCTGGAAAGTTTCTTAAAGGTTAATTTCAATATGTAATCCAAATCTATCGGTGAATATTTTTACTCTGTTACATTAAAACCTATTGGTTACTAAATAATATACAAAAAATGGCTAGAGATGGGGCTCAGTGGTAAAGCACCTTTGGGTAACTGAATGGTTATAAATCAGGGTTCCCATGACCTCTTCTTGGGTTTAATTAATCTGCTAGAGCAGCTCACAAAAATCAGAAAAACACATTACTTACATTTGGGATTATAAAGGGTATTACCAAAGATACAGATGAAAAGCCAGAGGGAAGATATGCATAGGGCAAGGTCTCTGGGAAGGAACACAGTTTTCATGCCCTCTCCTGGAGAGCTGCCATTTAGGAACATATTCAGCAAAGAGGATATTCTGGAACCTAGTCCTTTTAGGTTATATAGAAGCCTCATTGTGTAAGCATGAATGATTTAATTAGTCATTGGTAATCAACTCAACCATTTAGCACTTCTCTCCTCCTCAGGGTTTGGGGGTGGGAATAAAAGTTTCAACCCTCTTATCATGCCTTGGTCTATTTAGTGATCAGCACAACCCCCAAACTCTTTCTCCTAGCCACCTCATTAGCATAGAAAAGACATTAACACTCCAGAGATTTTAAGGGATTTAAGGTCTACTGTCAGGAAACAAATACTAAACACACACACACACACACACACACACACACACACACACACACACCTCTTTATCCTTGGCTTTACTTTCTGAGATGAGAGTTTAGTTACCCAAGGTCAACTCTGGTTAGCACTATGTGGAAAATTCTAGAAATTAACAATTCATGTTTCCCATGGTGCACCATTCTGAGTACAATGGAATTTCTCACTGTACCACTCTGTCTCACCTGGGACACAAATCATCTCTTTGTTCACCGTATGTACCATGTATGTGCCACCTGCCTATTAGTCATTAAGTAGGAAAAAAACCCCACAACATAATATACATAGGGATGCGTATGGTGTGAGATGTCTATTAGGGGTCTTAGAATGAATTCCCCACAGATAAAAAGGATCTACAGTATCTCTTTTTGTAAATCACAATATCATGTACAGTATCTTAAAAAAAAATCATATTGGTTAACATCACCACTGATCTCATCAAAGAAGTCTTTAAGAACCCAAGCTCATGACATCATTGAACTCATGCTTTCTGAAATCTACTTCTCATCTAAAAGTTCCCATTTTATTACTGGCAACAAATGCTGTCAGTTGTTTTCCTCAAAGTGACAGGCTTACTTTGTTCCTTTTTGAGAAAATATCTGCCAAATATGTAAGCCTGAATAAGCACAGTTTGTCAATTGTTCTTTCAAGTTAAAGTAATATTCCCTGAATAAAACCACTAGCTCAGCTCACACTAAATCACACATCTTACTTCAATATGAAACAGAAGTTCTTAATGCAGACTTGTTTTGTCACACAGAATATTAAAAAGATATACTCTGAGTTGAATTGTAATACAATTAATTTGTACTGCTTCATTAAGGCCATTCCTTTTAAACTTCGAGTACATATTAATGAATACATTAATTAATAGTGCAGTATGGTGTTACAGGCTGGATTTGTAATAAGGCTAGAGAAGATTTAATTGTCAATGCTTTTGCACTAGCGATATAGTGGCAAAAGAATTTAAAAAGCAAATAGCATCTAAGTGCTAAGATGAAATAACATTAACCTCATAGACCCCACCAAAGATACTGAGGACCCTGGGGATCTGTGAACCAAACTTTAAAGAATCTTTGAGTGCAACATCATATTTAAAAGGATTCTGAAGAAATCCATTAGGATGTTGAGACCAACAAATCATTTATATTACAGAACAAGCACATATTTCATATGGCTTAATCAATCATATGTGCTACTGGTATCCTTTAGAAGCAGGGTATAAGAGGACAACATATGACAAAGAGACTTTGGTAATAACAGCTGAAAAGCAGCAGATATTAAAAAGTCTGGAAATGGACCCTGTGAGGAGAGCAGGGAGCTTGGGTAAGTACATGCTTAAAATTTAATTTATACAAAAGCCAAAAGGTAAAGATAAGAATTAAAGGAAGAAAAAGGTCCTGCATCCTAAGTAGAATTTCATCTCACACCCACTTTCATTTTACTCACTTACCCACCAATTTCCTCATCAAAAAAGTGAGTAGAAAATTAATGCCAATAACTAGAAGGAAGCAGTCAGTGCCTATTAAAACAACTTTTGTACAGAACTTTCTTCAGGCCCAGATATCCAAATATACTGTGTTTCTAGACTGTGGAGTCCACAATGACATACTAAATGACACAGAAGATCAAACTGAGGGATTGTAAAGAGACACACTTTCTCCCTACAATCTAAGAAGGGTCCTATTTGGTGTCTTTGCTAGAACCCAAAACACTTTCCTTGGCTAGATTTCCAAGTTTCTAACTCATTTTAATTTTACCTTGACTCTAGAGTTAACATATAGAAAAAGAGGTGTCCAGTGTCAGAACAATGTTAGACAGCTCAAATGGCCTTCATTTTGTATTTAATAGTGTGTGCCTCTGAGAATCAATAACACACTGTTTATTTCCATTGACTTAGGAATTCCATCTCTGAAAATATGTTCCTAAAAATAATTCTAATTACAGACAAACATGAAGCCACATGCTCTTTATAGCAAAGTCAAGTTACAGGGAAAGGGTAAATAAACTATTGTCCGTTAAATAAACTATTGTCTGTTTATTTAAAGGGTGGGGAGCAGCCACTATAAATGACTAAATAGGCAAGATACAATAAAGCTTACAATATAGTGAAAATGAAATGAAAAAGATTGGGAAACTATATCAATAGTGGTTTATAGTAAAGAATAAGCACAGGGCATTTTACTACTTCTAATTTATCAAATGTATACGGAGCACCAGTACATGCTGGGCAATGTTCTAGATGATAGGCATCCACCAATGAACAAGATGAAGAGCCACGCACTCTTAGCATTTATATCAAACAGAGAGAGACAAATATGCTAACTGGGTCAAGTAAACAGTTTGTGTAACAAATATTCTGAAAAAAAGCAGCACAAGTAGAAAATGGGTTGACAGTGCTCAAATGCCACTTTCTCAAAGGGACTATTCTGACTTGCCCTGGATGTCCACTTGATTAAACCTCATCTCCAAGACTTTGCAGAATTAACAAGGTTTTTCAGGCAGATGAAATTGCTAGACCCAGACTCCAGAGTGGGAGTGAACCTGGTGTGTTCAAGGCATAGTAAAGAGTTCAGTGTGGCTAAGGCAGAAGGAGAGAAGCAGCAAATAGAAGGGGCCAGAGAGAGAACGGGAGTCCAATTATGTAGGCCAATATACAGATTCTGATTTTCACTGAGTGTAAAACTAACATAGGTTCTTCACTAAAAATTAGCAATAGTTCCCATTCAATGCAGAAGATGTAAAGAATTCATGCCTACTAGACAATGTAGATAGCCCCTACGACCCTTTGATCTTGTCAGCGGCACAGTGCTCTTCTTCTGGGCAGAGTCTCCTGAAGCACCAAAGAGGTGACCCTTTCCAGACAGAAGCATATCTGTGAACAGGGCTAATGCAGAGGCTACATTCATCCACTAGAGTCTGTGGATGCCCATCCAGTCTGTGGGTAATTATCATCCCAACTGTGCCTCCGTGAGTCTTCTGGGAGTGAGGATTACTCACATGTGAGGCAGCACATTCACTTACCTCTCTGTAGCTTTGTCTTCTGTGCTGTCAAGTCATCGGCCACCTGAGTTGCCTCATCTAGTTTTGCATCTGCTTCATTCAAGTGCTCTTCATACAGACTACAGAGTCTCTCAGCATTAGCCTGTAAGTTAAGAAAGAAGGGTTAGTCATGCTCATTAGCTGCATGAGGAAGGAGGGAGTGGTTGGCACAGGGACCTGTAGGAGCTCTTCTGCAGTAAAGATCTCAGTCAGTTTTGGGAAACCACATCTAATTTAAGCAAGTACAACAAATGTACAGAAAAGGGTATGGGCCTCTAAGAAATCAAAACTACTTCACATTATAGGTGTAGGGAAGCAAATCCAACTCCTAGGGTATTTGGAGCCTCTCCAGGATTCTTTACTCTTCTGGAGAAGGAAACATGTCAAACACTAATGAGGTGTCACACATGATTCTTTTCTGATTTTACATAATATTATATATTCAACTTTTATTCTCATTAGAATGTTTCATGAGGGTAGAAATTCTGCTTGATCACAGGTCTCTAGTGCCTTGAACAGGGTCTACAACATAATAGAGCCTCAATGAACAAGCAGGAAGGTGTATAGGGAGGGAGGGAAGGAAGGAAGGAAGGAAGAAAAAAAACCTAGGGAACTGGCCAAGTGGGCTAGGAGGAAGTAGACGGATCTGAGTTGCAAAAACCTAATAACAAATTTGATCTGTCGAAGCAATTGCATCCTTCTGATCACTTACGCTGCTAACTCAAGATAACTCAGTTGGACTAACACTTGAATCTCCAACTTCAACTTCTCAGAATTGACTTTTCATGCTTGAAGAAAAAGATATGCCATTGCTTTTGCATTTTTCTCTGGTTTCGGTAACCCATAAAGTGATTAGACTGTCACACTATGAAAACTCATGCAAATAATTTTGAGATCACGATTCTCAGTCTGAACTAAACTGCCAAATGTAGGCTGTGTGGGGATGTCCCTTTTTACCCAGAAATTAACTGTAATTTAAATATTATAATTTATACAGCCAGAAATGGCAAAATTACATTGGTTGACTTCCATGGTTCTTTAGATCTTATATAGCTGTTTTTGTGAAACTAATCTTCAAATTATCTCTGAATACCTTTCATCTGCCCCCATATTGATGATAATGGATGACACAAAGAACAATAACAGCAGCAGCAGCTAACCAATATTGGGTACTTATTGTATATCCAGTGCTCTTCTGGGCTTTTTATGTGTGTTAATTCTTATCTTCACAAAGAAAGGGTACCAATATAGAGAGAAAGAAAGAATTGCACACATGACATTGAGAAAACTGAGACACAGTGGAAGGGTGAAAGCTGGTGGTGAGCCCAGCTGTTAGCCTAATTATTATGAAATAATATTGTCCAAAGGCCAGGAATGTTTAAAAGTCCTCTGGGAAACTTCTGAGTCAGCAAAGACCTTGGCCATCTCTAGTAGAAGCCCACGGTATGTTGAAGACTGTTCTCTTTAAGCTTACAATGGTGAGCATTCTAAACATCCTGTTAAAGACTGCTACCTTACACGCTCTAATCTCTCTAATACAATGCTTGACACACGACATGCTCTTAATAATGGTTAGTACACAGACTTTAGTGAGAAGTTGGACAACAAGCCCACAGTGTTTAGTAATGTCACAAATTTTCCTCATAAACTCTAGCCTCCAAATTTGTTTTCCTAACTTGGTCAAGATGCTTCCCACTGATTAACAAAGAAGTGAAGAACCAATTTTGGAACATGCTCATTTAGAAGAATGCCATGGGGTTCCAGGTTGCAGATGTCCCATGGTGCATACAAGCTTTTTGGTGGTTGTGAATCTAGACCTGGCAGAGATTTGATGACCAGGTTCTCATTCATCAGCAGCACAGAGGTGATGCCAGGTGTGCTCAGTTATTCACTCACAAGCAGAAAAGGCAACTGTAGTGATAAATGCAATGGTTTTTAGGTTTTCTGCAGTTTCTAATTATATTTTGAATGTTGAATGTTTTCTCTCACTTCTGAAAGTGACTTTGAAAGCAAAAATTGGCACACACTTTATCCCTCACAATAGGAGTTCATCTTTCTCTGCTTTATAAATTAGAAAACTGAGCATCAGTCAGTCTAAATATCTTGTTCAAATTCACACAGCTAATCAGGGTCAGAATTGGGATTTGAACTGAAATGGCCTTTGTAGATGCAAAACAAAACAAAAAAATAGTAAAAGGGTCAAATGTTAAGGATGAATGGACTTCAGTAGGAGTTGACATGAATTGCCACAAATCCTAGATCCCAGCAGCCATTGGATACAAATACAATAACTATGTGAAGCATCTTTATTTCATGATGTTTTCAATAAAAATAATCCTTTAAACAAACCAGAATAAACATATTCACATGTGAGAAATGGGACTTCTGCTTGTGACCCTGAATACATTATGTTATGCCCCTACATGCAAAAAATGAAAGGGCCCAGATCTCTATAAACCCACATAGTCAATGGTATTAGGAAATAATAAGAAAAGGAGCAAAAGATTTCACAGTTTTCAGGAGAGGCCCATGTGGTAAGAGTCCACTGGGCCATGCATATCTGTGAGTGGTCATCCCACCTGGACAAAGAGGAAAAGCACCTGTCCTGAGGCATAGGAAAATTGGGGCATGGTGGCAATGGGACTTTCCCTTAGACAAACCTTCATGTAGTGGTTATCCATAGACACTGCTAACCATAGGCACAGTGTTTTCAATTTATAAAGTATTTTCCAAAGCAGGATTTGTAAAAGACAATATGTGTACTTATCTAAAGTTGGCCTGCACAGGGATATAGAATGCAAAGAGTTGTACTGTCAAAAGGATTTCTAATTTAAACAGAGAAAAACAATAAATTTTGAAATCAGGGAAGAGAAGGTTAATGCAATAATGCACATTCATCTCAAAGCTGCTTCTTAAAATGAGGCATAAAAATGCTGCCTCCCAGAAATGCAGGAACCAATGGGAATTCAAAATAATCAAGATAATTGTGAGATTGCCTATCACTTCTAAATTGCCCTGGGCCTCTCTGTCAGCATCATATGCTTTTGAAAATGCTTTTGTTTTTACTGTATCACTAAGCATTTGCATTCTTGGCATTATAATTTGAAAAAAGATGAAGTAAACAATTCAAACAAAAGTTGAGCATAATATATACCCACTTGAGAGTGAATAGAATGAATTCATCCTACCAAAAAAATATTTGAGGCATCAGAATAGGGCCACTTGCAGACTTATGCAGAATCTGGAGTTGTGGCCCATCTCTGCCATAAAATTTTGTGACCTTGGACAAATCCCTGAACCTATCAGCCCAAAAGACCTATGCAGAATAATGCTAGTAATTGAGGGCAGATTTTGTACAAAGACCTAGTTTCTGCTTTCCATTACATAAAATTAAAAGATTTTAGAAAGCAAGAAAGCAAGAGGGAGTCCCAAAGCGCTACAAGAATTCAAGAATGGGCAAATTTTTAACATAAGATGTTGAACTCGAGTATTCCAGAAAGTAGAAAATGACTCATTTGTGGGAAAAAAAATGGATATTTGGTGAAAGGCAATCATTTTAGCTGGGGTGAAATGAAGGTCTGTGAATCAAAATAATGGGATCTAAAACTGGCAAGGCAGGTTGAGCCTGATCACAGCCATAGGACACCTTGAAAGCAGAGGTTTTGAGTTCATTTTTAAGCAGGGACATAATTCAATAAAGTCATGTTTTAGAAAAATTAGTCTGGGTACTATACAGGATGGATTGGAACAAAGAAAGGTGAGAAGCAAAAAAGATAATTTAGGAAACCATTGTTACAGTACAGCTAAAATGTAATGAGAGACCTATATGGATATAAGAGAGGAGGATGGAGAGACAGTGAAGAATTGACCTGCTGCAATAATTGGAGAGCAAAAAATGAGAAAGAAAACAAGTAACAGGCTTGGAGCTTGGGTGATAGGAAAAATCAATGCCAGTGACAGATACATCCAGAAGGAAATGCCAGCTCCAGGAAAAGTTGGTGGTTTGGTTTTACATAGCTGATTGAGAGAAATAAAGATATTGCCAAGTTTTGAAGGAAAAATTTAAAAGCACACTTTCAAAAAAAAAAAAGGAAAGGAAACAGACATATTTCAGGGATTGAAGAGTAAGCAAATGATGAGATATACACCTATGTGTAACCTATGTGTTACAGTCTTTAAAGATAGCCTGCCAATGAGCCACAATCTCTGGTATTCACACCCTTATACAGACCCCAGTCCCTGTGGCTTGTAACTAACAGGAGGAGTTATAGAGACTCTATAGCATTCTAAGTCACAATATTTGCAATGTTGCCTTAGTGTTTTGGAACACATACCCTTCATACCCTGAGTTGCTGTGTAAGAAGTACAACTCCCCTGTGACTGCCATGTTGTAATAAAATCCATGCTAGCCCTGTGAAGTGGTCTCAAGGAGAGATCCCAGGTTTCTATCTAACCCGGCCCTAGTGCCAGATAACAAGCAAAATAACTTTCAAATGACTTCTGTCTCAATTGTCATTTAACTGTACCTTTACATGTTGACTGTCAACCTCCAAAACCAAGAGGGATAATAGTAAGTTTTATTTTGAGTTACATGGTTCTCAGGTGAATTGTTAGATAGCGAGAAATAAATAGAAAACGACTCTTTTGTTAGAGACGCACATACCAATGCCTTGCTTTCCTGTCAAGACACCACCTTTAGCTTCTAAAGTTAGGTCCTTTATACTTGGATTTGCTTCTCTTTTTTGGAATAGATAAATCATGTTTATGTGGAACAATAATTTATTCATTGGAGAGATGGAAAAAAAAGAAATGGAAAGAGAAACAAAATGTATAAGCTGAGGAGATGAGTGTTCTTAATCTTAATTGGTCTTACTTATTGAAAGAATGTATTCAGAAAGGCAAGTTCAGAATATGAGGAAAGATTTTGTATAAAATAGAATGATCAAGAACTTTTGAGCAAGAAAGCATATCTAGAGTCATACCGGGTTGGAATGAACTGACAGTGAATCTATCAATAGCTTTCAGATTTTATGACTTTCTACTAATATTTGCAGAACAGAAGAGTCCCTTAGGATGAGAAGCACAGGAGGGGATGGTGGCAGTGAGGACCTGGGCTGAGATAGGATACAAATGAAGCCTGGAAAAATAAAGTTTTTAGTACCCAGGGAAAGAGGGAATCCACAGAAAATGTAGAAGAGATACAAGAGAAGGAGAAGGCTGGAGTCCCCCCTAGATAGAAACAAGTGATTAAAAATGCTGGGAACTGGAAGTGCTTCAGATTTCAGATGTTTTTCAGATGTCGGAATATCTGCATATACATAATGAGACATCTTGAGGATAGCACTGTAAACACAAAATTCAATTTTGTTGTTGATATATACCTTACACACATAATTTGAAGGTAGTTTTATACAACATATTTAATAATTTTATGCATGAAACAAAGTTTGTGGTATGAAATTTTCTACTTGCAGCACATGTTGGTACTGAGAATTATAAAAATTTGGAATATTTTGGATTTTAAATGATCATATTAGGCATGCTCACTCTGCATTGTAAGATAATGGGGGGATGGTTGGGTGCCAAGTTATGTAGTGTGATGTGTACCATAAAATTCATATGTTGAAACTTATTCAACAATGTTATAGCATTAAGAGATAGAGCCTTTAGGAGGTGATCACATAATTCAGGAAGAGATGAATGGGATTAGTGACCTTATTAAAGAAGTACAAAGGAATGTTCATTCCTTTCCCCCTTCGCCATGTGAGGGCAGAGCATTTGCTCTTCCACCATGTGAGAACCAGGAAAGAGGCACTTTTTTTTTTTTTTTTTCCGGTGCTGAGGATTAAACCTAGAGGTGCTTATTGACTGAGCTACATCCCCAGCCCTTTTCATTTTGAAATAGGTCCTGCTAAGTTTCTTAGGGCTTCACTAAGTTGCTGAGGCTGTCTTTGAACTAGCAATGCTTTTGCTTCAGCCTCCCAAATTACTGGGATTATAGGCCTGTGCCACGACAGCTGGCAAGGTGTACCATCTTTAAAGCAGAGAGCTCTCACTAGACACCAAGTCTTCTGAAGTCTTGATCTTGGCCTTCCCAGCCTTCAGAACCATGAGAAGTACATTTCTGTTATTTATAAATTGCTCAATCTTAGGTATTTTGTTATGTCAGCACATCCAGATCAAGATAAAATTGGCACCAAGAGGTCAAGGTGCTGCTGTAATAAATACCAGTATTTGGGTTATGTGTGTCTCCTAGGACTTTACAAATTCTGCTTACAAGGAGTGGAGGCTGCAGTAACCAGTCATTTGTTTTGCTTAATATAAAGCAACACTCCTCTTTACTACTAGAAGTCAGAGTTGTTATTACCGGTGATTGGAGAGTAACCCTTTGACATGAGAACTTGCAGTACACAGGTTCACAGACTCTGCAAAAAAAGAACATATGATAAAATTTTCTTCTAGTGCTAGCTGGCCAAAAGACATCAGAGGATGTAAAGAAGAAAAAGTTCCCTCTTCTCAACTGTTTGTGCCCACCATTTATTTAGACAGACTGTTAGTCCCTAGGCCATCCCTAAGGAGTGCTCAAAACTTGAAGCCGTTCTTCATGAGAGACATGGCTAGTGGCTTCACTTTTTTAGTCAACTTACTAATAGAATCATGAGAAAGCTTCATAAAGAACATGGACTAGAATTCTGATGAAACCAGAAGCCACTCTCAGGTGTCATTCAGAGGATGGTTGCATGATAGTAACAGCCATTGAGGTCAGCCCTGATCTAGTCATTTGCAAGAGCTACAGCCTGCTTTAGCTAACACCTTGACTCATCATTCTGCTTTGTTTATCCCCTCCCTTCTCCTACCTATGCCCATGATTAGAAGTCCACGAGGAGGGTTCAGGAGTAACTACCTTAGCTCTAGTCATCTGCTCAACAAGGGTCAGGAGGTCATCCACTTTTAGTTACAAACCACTGTTTTTCCAGTTTTTGCTTGATATGCTGTAGGTTTTCTTCCTGATTCTTGACTTTGAGTTGACTATCTACATGCCTCTTTCAAAAAGGCAGACATCACCTCCAACTGTGCCCTCCTCCATGTCTTGGTGAAGCTTCTGAATTTTTGCTTCCTGTTTCTTGGTCATCCCCAGTTGGGTCAAACTGGACCCTCCTGCCTCCTCCAGCCTCTGGTTAAGTCTACAGGTAAGGTCAGAGCATTATTCTTTTCCACTTTGGCTCAAATGGTTCTTTCAAGTTCTAGCCTCTTTCAAACCCTGTGTTCAAGTCTGTAGCAATAAATAATTCTGACTTATGTACCAAGCACTTTTAGCATAGTCTATATTTAAGATTTTTATTCTATTGGGGTTTTTTCTTCTTTACAACTAACAAAGATAATATGACACTTTGATCCCCAATGCATAACTATAGAAAATAGAATACATAGGAAGGTAAATAACTTTTTTCTCCCAATCAGTACCAAGACCAGAATTAGAATTTGAAGATTTTTCCAGATCTTTCAGCATTGAATGACAGGCAGTGTCATTAAATTATATACATGGAGGTAAAACCTTACCAAAGAACACTTCCCAAAGGAACAGGAAACCATCTTTTATATGGCAAGAAAGACAAGATTAACCAGGAATTATTTTTTAAAGCAATAAGATTTTGTTTGTTTCTTTTATTTGCAATGCCAGAATTTGAACTTGAGGACTGAAACAGGCCAGGCAAGAGCTCTACCATTGAGCCTCATTCCCAGTCCCTCAAGGTGAATTTTATATATAATACTTTACTCATCTCGAGTTCATTTACCTGACAATCTCAACTACCAGAATTTAGGCAAAAATCTGATCACTATAATGAATGTCATGTCAAAGCAACTTCCTCTGAAACAGTATCAATTTAATTTCATACAGTTAACAAACTTGGTTTCTTAGTTTCCTTGTCTGCACTAGGTCTCCAGTATTAGGAGATTTTCAGCAACAAATTAGAATTACTGAAGGAATGGGGACTACCAAAGTGAATAGTCATTTGATACCACTAATGGCAAGATTATTAGAACAAGGAAAGTAGTGATAAGAACTCTATTTTTTCAGTGCTGGGGTGAATAGTTCCACAAATGTTGATAGCATAGTTGTATTATAGCACAGTAAGGGTATGGATGGTCATTAACATCACCTTAACTAATTAAGCATACATTAGGATAGGGAAGAAAAGGATAGAATTGATTTTCAAAAATTTTCTTTTCATTGAAAAAAGTACCATGGCTTAAGGAAAGCATGTTTTAAGGTCAAACCAGATAAGTAGTCTATCAGTTCTACAGAGGAGGTATGACAAAGAAGGTGCTGAAAGAAAAAAATATGATCTTCACCTCTAGGTAAAATGTGATCTCCTTCCATCTAGAGATCACAGGATCCAACATGTTTATCCCAAACAGCACTCTCAGTGAATCAAACATTTCTGAAATATTTCTTCAGTAATAATTTTGGAGTCTTTTAGAAGTGATGAAGATAACAAAATTTGAGTTTTAAATAAATTGAAAATTTTGTTGTTTTGATTTGGGATAAAGTCAAGCATCATTTGGAGACAAGTCTATAAACATGATAAATATATCACCTGGAGATTATTATTGTGTCTGAAAATAAATTATATTCACACAGTGAGATTGATTTTCTTATTTGGCTCACAAAGTTTCAGAAGATAAGTATATAAAAAGATGTTCTAAAATTATTTTGAATGTTGGTTACATTATTGAGAAATTTATTTAGCTCCAAAGAAAAATGATCTACCTGGATAAGACTATATGTGTATGTGTTAAAATTAATTGGTATGTTTTTAATTACTTTCTAGCAGGGTAATACAGTATAAAAGAGTCACATAGTGTAAAATTTATAAATAATTATGTACTATCAAATGTTTTGAGGCCACAGTGGCTATAGAACTTACTGATTTTCAGTGCAATCATCTTCTAATCACCAAGAATAATAATCACAAAATTAAATTACTTACACTGATTACATATCATTGGTCATGCTTTGTGCTTGACACTTAAAGTACAGTTGCAGTCAATAATATTAGCTCAAAGGTTGCCAGGAAGATTAATGAGTGAAAAATACATGTCCAGGATTTTAGCTCAATGTCCAGGGTTCACAGCAAACATTAAACAAATTAGCTACTCATTTGTATTATCCTCATAAGGAATTATAAGTTTAAAAAGTGATTTTCCCCAGGGCACACTTCTGTGTACGTTATTTTACCTTCTTAGACACTGTTCGTTCTCCCTCTGTCTAGATATACTTTTCTATGGTATGGATACCTTCATATAGATGCTGCTTCATTGACAACTACCATCACACATAGATATAAATACAGGCATAGGCATTTGATAGACAACTACCTAAAGCACATTTACCTGAAGCTGAGGCAACAGTCCTGTCTCATTCTCTACCTATGAATTTATCTGACTCATTTATTATTTTAATTAGAAAAATGTAAAAAATCAGAATGTTTAGAACATTTAAAAATATTTTTATGTTTTTCTGAATTTCTTTCTCTCTGTTTCTATCTCTCCCTTTCTACCCGCCTCCCCTCTTTCTTGGAGATTAAGCACAGGGGTACTTAACCACTAAACCATATCCCCAGCCTGTTTTATATTCTATTTTGAGACAAGATCTTACTAAATTGCTCAGGGCCTAAATTGCTGAGGCTGGCTTTGAACTTGCAATCTTCCTGCCTCAGCCTCCCTAGCCTCTGGGATTACAGGCATCTGCCACCACACTACGTGTCCTTCAACACTAACCCTCCTCAAAATATTCCATGAAATAGAAAAAGGAAGAATCTCTTCCAAACTCATTCCATGAAGCTAGTATCACCCTGATACCAAGACCAGACAGACATATATCGAGGTAATAAAACTTCAGACCAATGTCCCTCATGAACACAGATGCAAAAGTTCTTAATAAAATACTGGTAAATCACAAAAAACACACTACAAAGAGAGTGCACCCACCATTTCAAATGTGATTTATCCCAGTGAATGCAAAGTTGGTTCAACATACAGAAATCAATAAACATAATTCATCACATCAGTAGAGTGAAAGACAAGAATTACATGAATATCTCAATAGATGCAGAAAAAGCATTTGGTAAAATATAGCATCCATTCATGGTCAAAACACTAGAAAAAGTAGCGACAGTATGAACATATCTCAACATTGCAAAAGCTATATATACTAAATCCACAGCCAACATCATTCTAAATGGAGAAAAATTGAAAGCATTTTCTGTAAAAACTGGAATGTGACAGGGATGCTCTCTTTCACCACTTCTATTCAACATAGTCTTTGAAACTCTAGGAAGAGCAATTAGACAGATGAAAGAAATTAAAGGGATACATGTAGGAAAAGAACTCAAACTATCACTATTTGCTGATAACATGATTCTATATTTAGGAGACCCTAAAATTCCACTGGAAAACTTCTAGAACTCATAAGTGAATTCAGCAAACTAGCAGGATATAAAATTAACACTCACAAATCAAATGCATTCCTATACACCAGTAGTAAATCAACTGAAAGAGAAATTAGGAAAACTATTCCATTCATAATATCCTTGAAAAAATAAAATATTTGGGAATCAATCTAACAAAAGAAGTGAAACAACTCTAGAAGGCAAACAACAGAACACTAAAGAAAGAAATTGAAGAAGACCTTAGAAGATGGAAAGCTCTCTCATGCTCTTGGATAGGTAGAATTAACATTGTAAAATTGGCCATACTACCAAAAGTGCTATACAGATTCAATGCATTCCTATGAAGTTTCCGATGATGTTCTTCATAAAAATAGAAAAGGCAGTCATGAAATTCATTAGGGGAAAAAAAGACCCAGAATAGCAAAAGCAATCCTCAGCAAGAAAAGTGAAGCATGAGGCATCACAATACCAGAACTTAAATCATACTACAAAGTTATAGTAACAAAAACAGCCTGGTTCTGGCACCAAAACAGATATGAAGACCACTGGTATAGAAGAGAAGACACAGAGAAAAACCAACAGAAATACTATGTTCTCATACTAACAGAGGACCATAAACCTACATTGGAGAAAAGATAGACTCTTTAACAAATGGTGCTCAGAAAAACTGGAAATCTACGTGTCACAAAATGATATTAGACCCCTGTCTCTCATTGTGCACTAAACTAAACTCAAAGTGGATCACAAACCTTGGCATTAGATGAGAGACCCTGTGGCTACCAGAATAAAAAATAGGTCCAAATCTTCATTATGTAGGCTTAGGAACCAAATTCCTCAACTAGATTTCTAAAACACAAGAAGTAAAATTAAGAATCAATAAATGGGATGGTATTTCTCACTAATGGATAGAACTATAAATTGAGAAAGCCACCTTCACGCTAATGTTTATAGTAGCACAATTTATAATAGCCAAGCTATGGGAACCAACTTAGGTGCCTATCAACAGATGAATGGATGAAAAAAAAATGTGTGTGGGGGGTGTGTTTGTATGATAGAGTATTTCTCAGACTTAAAAAAAGAATGACATTATTGTATTTCATTTGCTGGTAAATAGATGGAACCAGAGACCATCACACTAAGTGAAATTTTAAAAAGACTCAGACAGTGAAAGGTTGAATGTTTTCTCTGATATGTGGAAGCTAGACCAAACTAAGGGAAAAAAGAAAGAAAGAAAGTAAGTGATGGGAGAATTCCACTAAAACAGATCAGTAGAGAAAAGAGACTGAAGGAGAGGGGGGAAGATTCAGAAAAGGGATGAATGGTAGAATGAATCTGACCTAACTTTCCTATTTACATATACAAATATACCATAGTGAATCTCACCTATTTGTATATCCATAAGGCACTAATTGAAAAAAAAAAAGAACACTGTGAATAAATAGAAGATAGATTAGCAGAGTACAGGAAAGGGAACAAGAGGAAGGAAAGGGAATGTCCTGGGGATTAAATTAGAGCAAACTGTATTCCATGCATGATAATGATGTTACAATGTACCATATTATGTATTAAAATAAACTAATAAAAATCAATAAGTAATCTTCAAAAAATTGAAAAAGAGAAGAATCCATGTGAGGGCTGGGAATGGAGCTCAGTGGTAGAGTACTTGCTTAGCATGCATGAGACCCTGAGTTCAATGCTCAGTCCAAGAAAAATACATATGTATGTACATAAATACTTTTTTTGGTACCTAAATATTTTAAAAAATAATGTGAATTGAGTTTTCTTAATTTTGATTGTTGCCATGGTTTGCTTTAGATTTTTTAAAAATATTTTTTAAGTTGTAGATGGGTACAGTAACTTTACTAATTTATTTTTTACATGGTGCTAACCCAGGGCCTCACATGTGCAAGGCAAACGCTCTACCACTGAGCCACAATCCCAGCCCCTTGCTATAGATTTTAAGGTTTAATATTTATATAGTAAATTATTTGACAATAAATACCTACACAAGTATGAATGAAATAGCTATCAAATATTATTTCAGTGATCAGAGAGTATATTAGTATATTAAAGTCAAATATTTTTGCATTTTATGCCATTACTCTAAGCATGAGTAAAAATAAGTGAGCATTTCTGAGTTTATCTTGTAGGCTTAAATTCCCACTAATTCATATCTCAAATGCCTTATACCTTTGATTCTCATCTGTTTTTCAGATACACTGTTATCTTCTACATTATGCATTTACTGTTTTTTAAAAAAATTATCTAAAAGCCCATCAAAAAAATTCGTAAACCTATTGTCATTGCCTGAGGTCTTAGATACCTGCCTAGAGTCTCGAGGATAAGTGGAATGACAGAACTGCTCTTTTAACCTCTTTTCCTGAACCACATGTCAACAGAAAGGTGCTTACATCCTGAGCCACTCTGCTAGCTACTGCTGGCTGCTCTCCAGGTTCTCCACAGTTTCCTGGTTCACCCTTAAATCACCCTGTAGTTTGTGCTTTTCCCTTTCACAGTTCATTCTTGCTTTCCTCTCAAGGGCACTCTCCAGCTGACAAAAGAAGATATTATTTAACCAAATAATAGGGTGTAGTTTATACTTTAGTAAATTATGCTCATGAACCACTTACCTTGGGGAAAGGAGAAGAAAAATATAAGCATAGATTCTGAAAATGATGCCCAGTTACATAAGTATTTTAAAATAAATATTGTACACATCAATATGTTAACAAAAGAACCTAGAAATCAGTGAGGAAAGGAAAACTCTAGAGACTATGGGCTCTGAGTTATGTCCCAGGAAAGCAATGAGGAGCCTCCTGTTTGATCACTTTCCAGTGGTGGGAAGCTCACTTCTTCCCATGGCAGCTCATTTCACAGAAGGATAAGTTCATTTACTCAGCAGTGTTTCCTCACAAGTTGTAAAAATAATCTTTGTAAATTATACTCACAAATCCAAACTCTGCACCCTAGAGCAACATCCAGCAAATTTGTCTCCAGGTGATAATTGATGGCTCATTTGAAGCCTTCCTGGCTCTTCTGACTCAGAATCACTGATTATTTCAAACAACATGGCATGATTCCATGTTCCCTTCTCCATCTTGCTTCCCTCTTCTAGTTCACAACTTTAGGACACTATTCTGATGTCTCACCAAGTTGGTCACAACATCCCAGGTTTATCTGGATTAGTCTTGGCAATGGGGATAACAGAGATTAGTTTAGCAGGATAACAGTTAAAACATGAATTTCTTTTTCTTGATATGTTTATTCTTTTAGCAATGGAAAATATTTCCTATATCCAGCAAAAAATATGAAATTCAATTTGGGTAGAGAGGGAGAATTGCTGGAAGATGTGTATGTAAAAACATGAAAGTGTATGAACCCCACATATTACAGACTGAATATTTGTATTCCCCTGCCCCCCAAATGCATATGCTTCCTAATTTCCAAAGTAATGATGAGACATTAGGAGACAGGGCCCTTGGGGATGAATCGGTTGTGAAGACAGAGCCCTCATGAGTGGGATTAGTCGTCATCGCTGAAGAGATCCCAGAAAGGTTCATCAATTCTCACACCATGGGAGGACACAGAAAGAAGATGGCCGTGTCTGAAGGAGGAAGCGGTCCTTCGTCAGACACTAGATCTACCAACACTTTGATCTATGAGTTCTCAGTCCCTGTAACTGCGAGAAAGAATCTCTTTTGGTTATAAGCCCCATGTCTATGCCAGTTAGCATTATGAATGGAGCAGGACAAGATTCTAGTCATCTTTTGTGTCACTGTGACCAAAACTACCTGACAAGAACAAATTTGAGGAGTGAAAGTTTATTTGGACTTCGTGATTACGGAGGTTTCAGTCCATAGATGGCCGAGTCCATTGCTCTGGGCTGGAGATGAGGCAGCACATCATGGGGGGAAGGACCGAGCAGGGGGGAAGCTGCTCAATTAAGGGAAGTGGTGTTAGGATGCAAGGAGTAGGAGACAAGAGACGTAGCTTTCCAGGGTATACCCTTAGTGACCCGCCTCTTCTAGCCATGTCTCACCTGCCTACAGTTACTACCCAGTCAGTTACAGTTACAGCTCCCAGAACTTAACCATTTCACCTCTGAAAATTCCTGCATTAACACAGAAGATTTGGGGGGGGCACCTCACATCCACACCATAAGAGACACCAAAGAGAATGTGTCTGTATGCACACACAGAGAAATGCATCCATGATTTCTTATATTGATGTTTGTGAGATAGGCAATTAGTGGAAATGGGAAGAAAAGTAATATAGATAACAGGTAACCGAGGACATTTATAGACAAGCAAGAAAAAAAGACATAACAAAAAATCTACATGTTTAGTAGTTTAATAAAAACTAAGCTTTGGAGACTAATATGAAAATTAATGCATCCACACTAGTTGATGAGATCATCTACTATCATTCAGTAGTTGAGAGAGAAATGAAAAATTATGAATGTACACATTGAGATTAGTCTGAAACACTTTGATTTTATAGGGTGTCTAGAGGCAGAACACCTTTAGAATCTCACAAGTAGTTTTCAACAATACAGGTAGAACCTAGCTTGTGACTCTTTCTCTGCTCCCCGTTTCCCGTGTTCTGAGCTGCTTTCCTTCTCCATACCCTTCCACCATAATGTTCTGCCTCACTTGACCACAGAGCAATGGAGTCGCCATCTGTAGCTTAAGACCTCTGAAACTGTGAGGACCCAATAAACTTTTCCTCCTCTAAAATTGTTCCTGTCAGATCTTTTGGCCACAACTGTGAAAACTCTGACAGAGACAGGTGCCCTGCATGTGACTCTGCCACAGAGGAGAACCAGGGCAACAAAGAAGAAGCTATTTCAAGGAGAGTCTTGAGAGGGAACTCTGGAAATCAGCAGAAAGTGAAGGGAACCCTAAACAGCACGAAGACCTTGAAAGACAAACTGGAGAAAAGAAAAACGATTCATACCTTCAACCCTGGCTTTCCAAGTGTGGTGGAGGTTGGGGGGGGGAGGGGGTGCCACTCAAGACTGCCAGGAAAAGGAGAGCAGGGAAGTGCCAGCAATGCCAGTCACAGCAGTTGTCCTAACTGCATGACAATTCCATGGCCTTTATAAGCTTTAAGTCTGATTCATGGAGCAGTGTGCTCTAAAAGTGACTGCTCTACTTTAAAGAATGGATCCACTTTGATACCTTCAACTTCCAGAACTCAGGCGACTATAATAATCATTTGCTGATGCGATCTTGGCTTAGGGGCTGGCAAACAGTCCCCCTGACACTAAGAATTCTTGGGCCAATGTAAACCTCATTGAGTGAGGACAGTCCCCTCAAACACCCTGAAGCTTAGGACTAGCAGCTGCCCTAGCCACAAGCACTTGCATTATTGGAATTATGAAAGATCACCTTCTCAGCCCACAACTTGAAACTGTAGCTACTATTGCAAAATCCTGACTTCAGTTATATTTGCCCATTGGTATCTGGAAAAACTCCCAGTTGAGTTCTATAGCTTCAGGAATGTGGCTACCAGTGGTCCCAATCCCCAGTATCACCTGTATTCCTTCTCAGCCCATGGCCCAGGGACAGCAACTGCTGGTGCAAACAGCCTTGGCAACACCTAAACTTGCCTATGAGCACCAGGAGAATATCTCATCCATGTTCTGTAACCCCACGACAATGGCTACCAACATCACAAATCTTTTCCAAGAGCTTTCACTGTGTGACGTAGGGGCATTCCCAACCATATCTTGTACCTCCAGGATTAGAGTCATAAGCTCTAGCAGCACCCATGTAGAAACTGTAATATTAAGAAAGTCTCTTCCATGTCCTACAACTCCAAGAATATGGATACAAAAACAGGTCCCAACAATACCTGCACATATACCAGGGGACTTGGGGAAAGTATTCTCCCCACAGTCATGAACTTTGGACCATTGCTACTAGTGCCAAAAGCCCTGATACAGTTTGTGTTTATCCCTTTGGATCTGGAGAAGATATCATGTGTGTTCCTCTGCTCTATAAAATTGATTAACAGCATTACAAGCCCTAGCACCAACATCAATCACTGAACAAGACCTAGAAAAATTCCTCTTTATGTTCTAAAACCTCAAGTCCTTGATTACCAGTACCACAGACTCCAAAATTGCTTGTGCTCATCTGTTGCCCATCAGGACTCAACTCTGTGGAGTCTGGGGACACACATATTTGGAATTCCACTACAAAGTCATACAATCACCTTCCTGAACTGCTATACTCAGGACTACTGAGGCACTCATAGACATTGCTGACATCAATCAAAGGAGCAGAAATCAAATAGAGACTAAGCTTTTGAGCTCCCCTATTAATCAAACCCAACTGATATCCTGTATCCCATCTAAATGAACAGTCATAAACTTTAGCAGCACCAGTGTCAAACAGGGTACCAGCATATATGTGTAGCAACACCAGATTCTGTGGGAGCTTTGGATAACAGCCAGTCATTGTGGGCAGCCCTTGAGAGGGTGATGCCTGAAGATATGTAAAGGAAGATAAAAACTACTTTAAAATATTGGAAGACATAAATGTTACATCAGGTGTGCCTATATCAATGTAAGAACACAAGAAACAGGACAGGAGATGTGATACTTCCAAATGAGAATAATAATTCTCTAGAAAGAGATCCTAATTTGAAGAAAATCTCTGATGTAGCTGAAAAACAATTTAACAATACTAAGGAAATTGTTATGGTTTAGATAGAAGGAGTTTCCCCAAAACTCATGTGTGAGACATTGTAAACACTTTCTAAGGTTAAATAATTAGATTGTGATAGTCTTAACCTAATCAGTATATTAATCCACGGATGGATAAACCAGGGCACTAATTGTAGGCAGGTAGGCTATGGCTGAGGGAGATAGGTCACTGGGGGTATAATTTTAGGGTATATATTTTGTCCCTGATGAGCAGAGCTCTCTGTTTTCTAAATGTCTTGGGTTGTTTTCCTCTGCCATTATGTTCTGTGTCCATTATGTTCTTTTTCATTATGTGCCATTATGTTCTTGTGCCCAGAGCTATGGAGTTGGCTATCTACGGACTGAGACTTCTGAAACTCTAAGTTCAAAATAAACTTTCTCTCTTCCATGTTGTTCTTATCAGGTATTTTGGTCACAATAATTAAAACCAAACCAAACCAAAAACAAAACAACCCTGACTAAAACAGAAATTAGTACCAAGAAGAGAGGTGTTTTCTGTGAATAACCTGACCATGTAGTTTAGAAGATATTGGAGCTTTTTGGAATTTGGAGAAAGAATTTTTGAAAAATTTAGAGATGCAATCTGGAAAAATTTTAGAGTGTTGTAAGTGGAGCTTAATGAGTGATTCTGGTGATAGCTCAGAAGACCAAAATGCTAATAGAACTGTAAATAATAAAGAGTGGGCTCATGAGGTTTCAGAGAAAAAGGAGCACTCTTTTGGAAATTAGATGCTATTCATGTTTTGGCAAGGAAGTTGTCTACATTTGCCCATTTTGAAACATTCTGTGAGACTGAATTTAAAGATAATATATTAATTAATCTGGTGAAGGAAATTTTA